AAAAAATTCATTACAATATCGATAACGAAATAAAAAAACTCAAACGCACAAAACTTCATGTTATAAAAGTAAAAAAAAATATTTTAAGTGTATAAAAAAATTAAATTAGATAAAATATTAAAAAAAAATATATAGAAATGTGGAAACGTTAATGTTAAAAAAATATATTAACAATAATTTAAATTGGCATTGAAATCCCAAAAAAGAAAGGATTTTTTAACACATAAAAAAAATAAATCTCGAGCCGCATGAAATATTCATCCCCCAACTTTGCATAAATAATTGAAAATAATTGGCAGCAGAGTCCTGAAAAAAGGAGAACAAAAAATAAAAGCGAAACGACCGAAAAACTCAACTAATTAATTCAAATTTTTTAACTAAATAGCCATAAGAGTGCAATTTGAAAATTAATTTGAAAAAACAAAAATAAAAAATTCAAACACCCCGAAAAAAGAAAATAAAAATCCAAACTCATCACAGCTGTAGACCATCTAATATTCAAAAGTCCCCTTTTCCGCACCAAAAAAAGGACAACAGGCACATACATATTTTTTGTATTGGTGGTGGTTTGAACCCTTCCATTCCACTCCACACCACCACAGACAGACAGAACAAAAATCCGCCATACTAAAGCACATTCCATTGACAATAATTACCATACAACGTTAAAGGATAACGACGACATCCTTTTTTGGTAGCTAAAAAAAATAAAATAAAACAAATTAAAAATTGCCTGCAAACAAAACACAACAACAACTGCCATAACAAAAATGAAATTTTGAAATAAAAAAAACAAATAAAACTCAAATAAACCAATTTCCCAAAAAGTAAAATAAAAAAATGAAAAAAAAATAATAATAAATATAATAAATAAATAAAAATCACAACAATAAAAAATTTGAAATAAAAATAATAAAATAGTTCATTTCAAAATTCATTAACATAATAATCAATAGAATTACACAAAAAATAGTTACTCATATTCCATAAATTTTAATAAAACAAAAATATTCCAGAAATCGTATTGAAAAAAATATATTTCAAAATAAAATACAACAACAAAAAAAAAATAATATTCTCATAAATAATACCGAACATAGTAGAATTTTTTCTAAGTGTATTTAAGTGTGTGTGTGTGCGTGCAATATTCATCAAATTTATATGAAACATCGCGACGAAGAAGCAGATTTTTCTTTTGAAAAAATAAAAATTCACAGTAGCTAAATAACGTAATCTAGATATTCAATATTCAACGGAAAACATAAAAAGGTAAGTGGAATTTAACTTTTTACTTTTTTTTCAAATTCACGAAAAATATTTGAAAATTATTTAGAATTTATAGAAAAATATCGAACAAAAATAAAGTTTTTGGTCCATTTCATACCCTAAGTATTAACCGACCTTTACCAAAAACAGTTGTTGTTGTAGCAGCCCTATTGCTTTTACACCAAAAACAGTAGGGGTCTTCATTGGCCAGAACCCATCCTACATGCAAAATTTCGTGAAGATTGGTCCATAACTGTATCGTGTTTACAAATTATAATGGACAGACAGACGGGCGGACACACATGTCTAGATAGATTCAGCAAGTCGAGATATGATCGGTATACTAAAGGGTGGGTCTAGGACCAATATTTCGCGGCGTTACAAACTCTTGGGGCTGCACAAAGCTATAATACCCTGACAACGTAATTGTGTAGGGTATAAAAATCCAAGCCTATGGAAGGTTTTTCAAAGTCGGATGGAATTTCTACGCATTGGGATTAAAGGATTTATTCTTCAGGCATTCTTTCCCTTACATGTTCTCTATTGAAGTTAGTCACTTTCTTACGACTTTTAGGTTTTTCAAAAACAGACGGAATTTTTACGCATTTGGGATTAAAGGATTCACTTTTCATTGCCAAGGTATTTGAGGGGGATTAGTTTCCTTTGCAACAGTTCCCATTTGAAGACCTTGTGCACTTATCCTACCTTTTGATGGACAGCTTTAGTAGGGGGCCTCAGTCCATGGGTAGTTACAATATTGGATGTAGGTATCCGTTCCGTTAAATACCACCCCCCCATTTACGGTGTCATAATTTCTTATTTTAGCTTACAAAATGAATTCGATTTTAATAGCACATGTGAAATACAACGCAATCGGCATCGCTTTCCTTTAAGGGGACCCCCCATTCACGGTGTCAATTTTTTTTAGTTTTTCGAATCTACACAAATTCAAGAATGACCCTACAAAATTTCAAGTGAAAATCTCAAGAACTCTTGAAGATAAAGCCGATATATTGTGTCAGCATCAAGTGGCGGCAAGAGTGATTCTCAAACCTCAGCCTGGTACCTCCCCCACAAAGTGGTCAAAATTGTGCTAAAAATTAATTTTCTAATAACATGAAAACGGACTATCCGATTTTAACGAAAATCTGTACAACTTATTATCTTAACCAAGCCTTATTATATTATCTTAACCCTGGTCCACTCCTCCTGGTATCTCCCACACAAAGGGTACTTCCCACACAAATGGTCGAAATTTTCAATATTTATAAATCCAATATCAGGCGATTGGAATATCCGATTTGAACCAAACTTTGCTCAACATATTGTCTTTACTAAGCCTAGATTAAGTTGGAAGATGGGACCCATAGGTCCACTCATTCTGGTACCTACCCCATGAATGGTAAAAAATTTCAATATTTATAAATGCAATATCAGGCGAATGGAATGTCATATTTCAATCAAACCTTGCACAACCTATTATCTTTACCAACCCTATATCAAGTTCCGGTTCCTCCCTAACAAATGGTCAAACCTCTTTGATAAAACATATTTCTTATGTAAAGCTAATAATAAAATCTGTGCGTAATTCTGAAGTCCTCCGCAAACCATAGGCTGGGGGTATATATCTGTCGGCAACGCTGACAGACACTTTTTTACTTGTTTTTTAACTTAGTCTGTTGTCAAAAATAGGCGTATTTCCAAATATTGTTTTCAACGGTCCGCAATTTTATTAATTATTGAGAAAATTCAATAATCCTAGTTCATATGATACCCAGACATGTACTCTTTCTAACACCCTTAGAATTTCCGGATTTCCATGTTCCAGTGAGGAGTTATCATAACCGCCATCAAAAATAAGGACTTTTCTTTAATCACCAAGAACAACAAAAAAACAAAACTAGTAAGGAAAAAAGTAAAGTCGGACGGGGCCGACTATATGATACCCTTCACCACTTTGAGTATATTCAACAGATGAGTCATAACAGACGTCGCATTTTTAAAGGACCAGTAAAATGAAATTGGATCCATAAACATCGGACGAAAATATATATGGAAGCTATATCTAAATCTGAAACTTATCACACATCGTTTTAGACTTAATTGAATACGCTATATCAAATTTCGTGCAAATCTAATAATATATAGGGACTATGGTACTCCATTTACATAAAATCGGACGAAACTATATATGGGAGCTATATCTATATCGGAACCGATTTTCACGAAACTAAACACACGTCATTCTGCAGTACACTATGTCAAATTTCGTGCAAATCGAAATATATAGGGATTTTGGTGCACCATTTATTAAAAACCGGACGAAAATATATATGGGAGCTATATCTAAATCTCGACCGATTTTAACGAAACTTGGCAGACATCATTCTAGGCTCAATTCAGTACGCTATGCCAAATTTCGTGCAAATCGAAAGATATATAGGGACTTTTGAGCACCATTTACATGAAATCGGACGAAACTATATATGGGAGCTATATCTGAGTCTGAAGCGATTTTCTTGAAACTTGGCAGACATCACTCTAGGCTCAATTCAGTACGTTATGCCAAATTTCGTGCAAATCGAAGGATATATAGGGACTTTGGTGCACCATTCACATTAAATCGGATGAAAGTATATATGGTAGCTATATTTAATTCTGAACCGATTTTCTCGAAACTTACCACACACATTTCTGTACCCAATTCAGTACGCGGTGCCAAATTTCGTGCAAATGGAAGGATATATAGGGACATTGGTGCACTATTCACATAAAATCGGACGAAACTATATATGGGAGCTATATCTAAATCTGAACCGATTTTCATGAAACTTAGCACACTCCATTCTAGACTCAATTCAATACGCTGTGCCAAATTTCGTCCGAATCGGACAAATATTGCGAGTTTGGTGCATCATTTACATAAAATCGGACGAAACTATATATGGGAGCTATATCTAAATCTGAACCGATTTTCTCCAATTTCAATAGGGTTCGTCCTTGGGCCAAACAAATGAGCTGTATTAAATTTCATCCAAATCGGGTTATAAATGCGACCTGTACTTTGTTAACAAAAATACATGGGTGGACAGACGGACATGCGTAAATCGACTCAGATAGTGATTCTATGCATATTCTCAAAATTCTATCTCGTTTCCTTGTTGACCCTTAAAAATATTTTTTAAAAAAAATCCGCCTTGTTGTTGACCCTTAAAAATATTTTTTAAAAAAACCCCGCCTTGTTGTTGACCCTTAAAAATATTTTTTAAAAAAACCCCGCCTTGTTGTTGACCCTTAAAAATATTTTTTAAAAAAACCCCGCCTTGTTGTTGACCCTTAAAAATATTTTTTAAAAAATCCACGCCTTGTTGTTGACCCTTAAAAATATTTTTTAAAAAATCCACGCCTTGTTGTTGACCCTTAAAAATATTTTTTAAAAAATCCACGCCTTGTTGTTGACCCTTAAAAATATTTTTTAAAAAATCCACGCCTTATTGTTGACCCTTAAAAAATATTTTTAAAAAATCCACGCCTGTGTAAGTCTCTATATTTTTTTTTTTAATTTTTGTTTTTATATATTTTTTTATTTAACAAAGTATAAAATTATAAAAAAAAATTAACTAACTTATTTATCTTAGGTTAATAAAAAAAATAAATCAAACAAATATAAAAATTATTGCTCTAAAATTAAAATGTACATATCCGCTTAGATAACGATAGTTTTTCTTTAATACTTATATTACAGATTTTTCGGCATCTGTGCCCACTCGACTATCATAGGTGCATTCTAGCTGTTTGCCTGAAAAGAAAAACAAAATAATTAAAATTATAAAAAAATAATTAAAACAAATCTCAAACTAAATAATTTTTTTATTTAAATTAAAAAAAAAAATATTGAAAAAAAAAATCTAAAAAAAAAATATTTTAAAACATTTTTTTGTTTTAAAAACTGATTTAAAAAAATGTTAAAATTTTTTTTTTCAATTTTTTTTTAATTATATTCAATTTTTTTTAATATTTTCAATTTTTTTTTTAATTACTAAATATTTTTGTAGAAAAAATTTCAAATATATATTTTCAAAAAATCTTAATTTATTCTCCTTACCCTCCACATCCATTTCATCATGTTGCCGACGCACAAATCTCAATCCGACATAAATCAAAGCGGCCACCAAGGCAAGGACTCCCACGACCGATAAGCATATCGCCGTAATATGTGAGGATTCTTCAATTACATTCACTATCTCATGATCATTAAAATTCTCTGTAGGATTTGCCATAAACTTCTCATATGCCTCTGGCGTTAAACAAACTGATTTTATTACAGGTTTCGTGGACTCTGTCGTATCTGCCTGATTAAAGGCTCTCTTTAACATTCTATAACCCTCTTGGCAGGAACAGGTTCCATTTTCGCTACAAATTGCATGAGGATCTGTGCATGGCTTTAGCCGACAATCAATTTCATCAATGGCAAATTTCAAGGGCTGACATTGGCCTCGATAGCGCACATAATCATCGGGACATTTGGTGTGGTCCCCATCCCCACTATCACTACTTGGACTTCCACCATCCAAGTTATCGGTGGTGCTGGTGGTGGTCTCAATAATTTCATCAAATACCTGATTGGGATCAACATCTTCCCGCCAGGTATCAATGTCTGTCTCGATTTCTGGCTGCCTTTCCGTTGAAGAATTCGTATCCTGTTGGGGATCATTTTTCAAAGGTTGATATTCCTGCTCTTCTTCAGCTCCATTTGGATTTGGTTCACATTCTTTGGTATTTACATTCCATACATAGCCCTGGGAACAAATCGCCGAACATGTTCCCTGTTCTGCTTTGTAGCCCTCCGAACATTCACATTGATTGGGTGCTATGCATTTACCCTGGAAGGGACAGCCTGAAGCACAATAAGGTCTACACTCCGTACCCTCAAACAGATGATAACCATTGTGGCAGGCACACTCATTAGGCTTTACACATTCACTATGTGCAGGGCAGGGTTTCTCACAGATCGGTTCACAATAATGGCGACCATCACGTTCCGAAAATGAAGAGAAATAGCCGGGCGAACATTTACACACCTCCGGTTCAACACATTTGGAATTTTGTGGACATGTCTTAAGGCAACGTGGTTCACACATTTGCAGTTCGGACATTTCATAACCCTCACAACAGCCTCGTACAGGAACAATTTTTGCCACCGCCTCTTGTTCGACATATTCTTCGATTTTGGTTTTGGGTTTGGAGAGCTTTTTATACCAAGGTTGGGCCACTTTTACTTCTCTTGTTTTGGTTACATTAATGTAGGAATATTCGGTACGATTGTATATGCAATAGGGTTCCGATGCCGAGGAATATTGTAAGTCCATAAATTGGAAATATACGAAACAAATTGCTAGCCAATATTTCATTATGAAGTTTCGACTGGAAAGAATAAAACAAATATTAAATATTAAGTCGAAGCTTGAAAATAGTCTTTAAAAAATCCAATCCTAAAATAATATTTAACCAGTAAGAAAAATAGTCAAATCGGATGGGGCCGACTATATGATACCCTTCACCACTTTGGGTATATTCAACAGATTAATCCTAACCTACGTCGCATTTTTAAAGGACCAGTAAAATGAAATTGGATCCATAAACATGTCATAAACGATACTAAGTTCTTCATTTGGTCACATTTAGGAGCTATATCTAAATCTGAACCGATTTGGTGCACCATTTACATTAAATCGGACGAAAATATATATGGGAGCTATATCTAAACCTGAACCGATTTTCAGCAAACTTAACACACATCATTCTAGGCCTAATTCAGTACGCTGTGCAAAATTTCGTGCCAATCGAAAGATATATAGGGACTTGGGTGCACCATATACATTAAATCGGAGGAAAATATATATGGGAGCTATATCTAAATCTGGACCGATTTTTAGGAAACTTAACACACATCATTCCAGACCTAATTCATTACACTGTGCCAAATTTCGTGCAAATCGCATGACATATAGGGACTTTGGTACACCATTCACCTTAAATCGGACGAAAATATATATGGGAGCTATATCTAAATCTGAACCGATTTTCATGAAACTTTGCACACATCTTTCTATACTTAATTCATTACGCTGTGCCAAATTTCGTGCAAATCGAAGGATATATGAGGACGTTGGTGAACCAGCTATATATAGGAGCTATATCTAAATCTCCACCGATTTTCACGAAACTTAACACACATGATTCTAGACCTAATTCAGTACGCTGTGCAAAATTTCGTGCAAATCGAAAGATATATAGGGACTTTGGTGCAACATTTTCATTAAATCGGACGAAGATATATATCGGAGCTATATCTAAATCTGAACCTATTTTCACGAAACTTGGCAGACATCATTCTAGACTTAATTTAGTACTTTATGCCAAATTTCGTGTAAATCGAAGGATATATAGGGACTTTGGAACACCGTTTACCTTAAATCGGACGAAAATATATATAGGAGCTATATCTAAATCTGAACCGATTTTCACGAAACTTAATACACATCATTCTAGACCTTATTCATTACGCTGTGCCAAATTTCGTGTTAATCGAATGATATTAAGGCAGTTTGTTGCACCATTTTCATTAAATCGGACGAAAAAATATATGGGAGCTATATCTAAATCTGAACCGATTTTCACGAAACTTAACACACATCATTCCAAACCTAATTCATTACGCTGTGCCAAATTTCGTGCAAACCGAAAGATATTAAGAGACTTTGGTGTCCCATTTACCATAAATCGGACGAAAATATATATGGGAGCTATATCTAAATTTGAACAGATTTTCAGGAAACTTAACACACATCATTCTAGACCTTATTCATTACGCTTTGCCAAATTTCGTGCAAATCGAAATATATATAGGGACTTTGGTTCCCCATTTACCTTAAATTTGACGAAATTATATACGGGAGCTATATCTAAATCTGAACCGATTTTTCCCAATTTCAATAGGGAAAATCTACCTCCAAAAATAGTCTTTAAAAAATTCAGGCCTAAAAATAGTTTAAAAAAATCCACCGCCAAAAATAGTCTTTAAAATATCCACGCCCAAAAATAGTCGTTCAAAAATCCCTTGAAAAAATTATTCAAAATATCCACACCTCTTGGAAACCCCTGAAAAAAATTATTTAAAAAATCCAGGCCTTGTAGATGACACTTAAAAATAATTTTTAAAAAATCCACGCTTTGTCGATAATAAAAATATTTTTTTTTTTTTTGAAACTTGATGCTTTTTGCACTTCACCAAAAAAAATTAAGAATCCGATCAAATTTCACTAGGTTCGTAAAACTGCTTAGATTTCAATATTTTATTATTGTTTACCTCTGAACACTTTTTATTTATTTATTTAAATAATTTCTTGTTTTTGTTTATTTAAACAAAAAAATCGAAGTAATTTTATTTTCCCGCAGCGGAAGTTGAGTGGTCTTGACTAGCTCGATAATTGAATGGAACTAAATTGTGACCAAACGAACGCATTTAATTCCGATACTATTGTTGTGAGTCAAGAGGCACACACACACACTCACTCACACATTGGAAGATCAACAGCTGATTGCTGGACAGATTATTACAACAGGCGGTGGCAGAGGCGAGGACGGCATTCAGCCTAAGCCGCAATTGATTCACCACCAAAACAGAGTTCAGATTTCTTCAGGCATTCCGCCACTCATTCTTTCACATTCATTTCGAATATAGGGGCGCTCATTAGTGTGGGAGTGGGAGAGCATGGTGTGAGGAGGGAGGGGGGTTGTTTTTCAATGAAATATCCGCTGTTTCATGAAAAGCGAACACTGATAAATAATTTTTCTTTAGATCAGGCACGGGCAGAGCATAAAAAATTCTGTTCTCACGCACTTGTCTTTGTGTGTGTGTCAATGGTTTTTCAATTGGTTCAGTTGAATGTGTGTGAGAGAATAGCGATACTTACTGTCGCGAGAGTGCACGCGTGCGGTGCTTCGCCCGACTGTGCTTTAGATTGCATTTTATTTTCTGTTTGTGTGTGTGTGTGTTGGACTACTTCCAGATTGTCCGAGGCCCAGGGAGAATAAATCGAGTGATTTATATTTTATTTTTTTATAATTAAAAAAATTAAACTTCATTTTGGTTAGTGCGTGATAGTCATGAGCGGGACGACATACTTCCACAAAAACAAGGAAATATGCAAAACAACAACACAACAAATTATGACAATACAACTACTCATGTGACATGATTATGGTGAATTTTAAATGAGTCACTTAGGATGACATGGTTCTGTGGTAGACTAAATGGGGACTAGAAAGCGTGGATTTCTTAAATAATATTTTTCAGGGTCTGTTAGAGGCGTGGATTTCTTAAATAATATTTTTCAGGGTCTGTTAGAGGCGTGGATTTCTTAAATAATATTTTTCAGGGCCTATAGAAGGCGTGGATTTCTTAAATAATATTTTTCAGGGCCTATAGAAGGCGTGGATTTCTTAAATAATATTTTTCAGGGCCTATAGAAGGCGTGGATTTCTTAAATAATATTTTTCAGGGCCTATAGAAGGCGTGGATTTCTTAAATAATATTTTTCAGGGTCTGTTAGAGGCGTGGATTTCTTAAATAATATTTTTCAGGGTCTGTTAGAGGCGTGGATTTCTTAAATAATATTTTTCAGGGTCTGTTAGAGGCGTGGATTTCTTAAATAATATTTTTAGGCGTGGATTTGTTTAAAAAATTTTTCAGGGCCTATAGAAGGCGTAACCCTTAAAAATTTTTTAAAAAAGGGCCTATAGAAGGCGTAAAAATATTGTTTAAAAAATCCACGCCTATAGAAGGCGTGGACCCTTAAAAATATTTTTAAAAAATCCACGCCTTAGAAGGTAGACCCTTAAAAATATTGTTTAAAAAATCCACGCCTTAAGGTAGACCCTTAAAAATATTGTTTAAAAAATCCACGCCTTAAGGTAGACCCTTAAAAATATTGTTTAAAAAATCCACGCCTTAAGGTAGACCCTTAAAAATATTGTTTAAAAAATCCACGCCTTAAGGTAGACCCTTAAAAATATTGTTTAAAAAATCCACGCCTTAAGGTAGACCCTTAAAAATATTGTTTAAAAAATCCACGCCTTGTGGTAGACCCTTAAAAATATTGTTTAAAAAATCCACGCCTTGTGGTAGACCCTTAAAAATATTGTTTAAAAAATCCACGCCTTAAGGTAGACCCTTAAAAATATTGTTTAAAAAATCCACGCCTTGTGGTAGAC